ACCTTTTCAAATTCTGCCATTGTTTCTGGGAAAAATTGCTAAACTGAACTAATTACGGTTAGCTCTACCTTCAGCAATTCGCTTAATATCTTCCTCTTGATGTTGTAGGCGTTTCGTGTATGAGTGAAGGTACCGAGTCATAATTTTAGTGCCGTTTTGACCAAAAATCAGCAAAATCCTTGTGATAGTGCCCCTTTAAACACAGCATTCAAGAAACCTTTTTCTTTTCCACATTGCAGCAACTTGTACTTTTGAAGAAAGTCACATCTGTGGATACACACAAGACACAACTGATAGATTCAACTGGGACCGTGGCAGTGGAGCAACAATAACCCCCAACACAGGCCCTTCTGCAGATCATACACTGGGATCCAGCGCAGGTATGTCCGCAGTGACTTGTCTTGTGGGGGAGGCATTGTGTTATATATGTACACAGCATAAAGTCTTGACCTTATAAACACTTGTACTGCATGGGTTTGAAAGGGTTTTCATGGTATTGACTTCTCTAGTGATTGGAGTTAAAACTGTATTTCACCTGTTGTTCAGATTGCTTAATGTAACACCACATTTTTGCAACTGCAGCACAACAAAAATTGGTGCGTTGTGAGTTGCAAGAAAAGTAGAACTATCGCTGCGTGTGACATGTCAATCGCAACTTGCAACGCAATTATGTTTAAATGAGCCAATCAGAGCACGTCATTCGCTCGCGCAGATTTCAAGATGGCTGCGGAGAAAGGCGCATTGCAAGTTACGAAAAAAAATTGCAAATGCGTGACACCTCCTCTGCAACTTGCAATGTTTTTCAGTCGTGATCGTTGCATTGCAAGTTGCAAGGAAAATTGCCTTGTGTAACATGGCCAGTAATCTCAAACTCTACAAAACATTAGCAGTGAAAACACTTATAGAAGAGAAATTAAAACCTTGCTTGACTTTTAATCCAGGAGTAGCATTAATCAGCTTTTGAACAACCAGACCCTGGAGTTTACAGTAATTCTGATTTATTTTTTGCTGACACTTAGGATTTTACATGTATATCGAGAGTAGTCAAGGAAGATCAGGATACAAAGCAAGATTATTGAGTCCTCAAATGCCTAAGACACCTGCTAAATGTGTGCAATTCTGGTACCATATGTATGGCTCAACCGTGGGAACTTTGGCAGTGTACAAGAAAACAACGTCTGGTGCAGTTGGTCCTCGCATTTGGTCACGTTCTGGAAACAATGGAGATGAGTGGCTGGTTGCACAAGTAAATGTGTGGAGTCCTGTGAGGGCATTTAGGATTTCATTTGAAGGAACTATCGGCCGGGGCAATAAAGGGGATATTGCCATTGATGATGTTGAAATATTTAATGGAAAGTGTGCTGCCCCTGGTGAGTACATTGGTTTTATTCAATTGAACTAGCCTGAGATCCGTATCAAGGAAACATTGGCAGAGTTACTATTTTTTGTAAGGTTATGGACTGAGCCAAAATGTTTTATTATATTGGCTGACTTTTACAATTTTTGCTGATAAATTCTCAACAATGTTAATCACATTCATGTATTTTTAAGTCACATTCAGTTTCTTGGAAGTTGAACCAAAATTGTCACCAGACATTTTTTCCTTCATACATGCACAGGCAGCCCAGGCTCTGTACACGAATTAATATTCAATGTTGTTGTTCATGGCGGCGATTTGAATATTTACAGCAAATGTATGAGAAACTCACGAAATACGTTCTAAATGCTATCTTTTCGACGGAACCTAGTTAAAACTGACTTACATTGTGCAAGTGTTTTGTTATTTTGATGTTTGGGTGTTCCTGGAGCCAGTTTAAAGCCATTTAGACGAGGTTTGCTTTTTCAGTTGACCGTCCATTATAAATAATTTAAAGGCCGGCAACAATTATGTGAGAACGGATCCAATGGTCCACACTAGAAGCTCAATAAATTCCATAAAAATGCGCCAATCTCCTCAAAATTACCTTCATTGCAGATGTCCATGCTCTTAGCTTCTGTTCGCTACTACTAGGTTTCCAACGTTGACTTTATTTGCTCGAGAAACGCTAGTGTTCGAGCTCTTGTCTTTTATATTTTCTTTTGCGTTATGTGTAACCCCGGCGTCTGAGACATCTCATTTGAAATTCGTGCTTAGCGACCGCGACATTGTGATACATGTAGAAAACTGACAGTTTTTGTAACTGTACAATGTTTCAGAAAAGAACATCATTTAAACTAATTCATGAGCTTGTGGTCCATTCCATATTGCAAAATTCAGACCACCCAGGGAAACAATCATTATCTGATCTGATGCAACCATGGTTACATCAGGTTATGTTAGGATTTTCGTTTCACTCACTCATCCTGTCCCAGGGTGGATACTCCGGATTTAAAGTGATGGGAGGTGCAAACTGGGTTTTTTGGTTTGAAATTCACAATTTCAGGATTGTTTTGGGTAAGACAATTTTGGCAAGTATAAGAAAATTAGAAACAACTCGTGATCAAGACGTCTTCAAAGCATTCCCAGAATGCAGAATGAGGGGGCGGCTAAAAAAAGACTAGCTGGGATGAAAACAATGCAAGCGCTCAAAGTTTGTGACCGGAGTGAGTGAGCACCTTTTTATTAAATGACCAACATTTTATGAAGGAACTATGTAGATGGGTGGTGCACCTTGACATAGTAGCCTAGTATATTTTTCAATTTCATCAGAAGTACTGATGGCAATCCATCTCAATATTCTTTTAACCATCCACGTTATTTTATTTGTCTAGCTTTGATTTGAAGGTAATTTTGTAAGGCCCCAAAGTTAATGTAAGATGTGTGACATAACTCCTTAAAGTCTATAAGGTTGGCAAAGGAGATTGAAAGGACAGTCTTCGTGTTCACATAATTTAGCTAGGTTTTGAATATTTAAAGGAGCTATGTCACGATATTTTAAGTCATTTTTGGGAAGTGCAAAATCACCTTCAAATTGAAGAAAGCCTCAAAATAACAGTTTACTAAGGTAGAAAAACACCAAAGAGGTAATAATAAGCCAAACAGGAACAAGGATGGTTGAGGATGATTAAGATGGATTGCGAACGGTGAACTTGAAAAAATTGGCCATTTTTTTCAAGATGCGCCATCCGTGACGTAGCTCCTTTAAATGACCTAATATACCATAGACTGATGTTTAGTAAAATTAGAATTACTGTACCTTGTGCCATTCTATCAGACTCAGTAATGTGTTATTTACTTATCAAAATTTAGGAAATTGTGACTTTGAGAGGGGGACATGCACGTGGCGAAACACACGCAAGGAAGATGATTTTGACTGGTTGCAGGGCAAAGGGAACACATATTCATCAACAACGGGACCATCTACTGATCACACAACTGACTCAGTCAATGGAACGTATATGTTTATTGAGGCTTCATCACCAAGACGACCAAACGAGAAGGCAAGATTCATCAGTGAATCATTCCGTGCTGTTCCTGCTAAAGGCAGGTGTCTTCAGTTTTGGTATCATATGTTTGGCGCAGACATTGGTACCTTTAATATTCTGCATAAGACAGCACCAGGAAATAAGTCTGAGAAGATTCTTTGGAGTTTGAGTGGTCAGCAGGGCAGCACATGGTTAAATGGAAAAGTCTCTCTCAGCAAGGTTCCCAGCACTCGTTTCTGGATTGTATTTGAAGGAATACGTGGTAATGGTTACCGTGGTGACATTGCCATTGACGACATTCTAATAACAAATGCTGATTGTGCAATATTTCCATCTAAGGCTAATCCCAACAAGCCAACAGCCACTACACCTGTTGCAACAACAAAATTTACTCTTCCACCCCCATTGCCAACTTCGATTTACAACTGTGACTTTGAAAGACTTAGAGGCTTTTGTAATTACACTCAAGAGCATATAACAGATGTCTTCAACTGGACACGTCATCAAGGGGGGACAAATTCTGGGGGGACTGGCCCGACTATCGATCATACCAAACAGCAAGGCGTGGTTGGTCCTAATGGTCCAGGCTCTCTTCAGCAAATGTTAACTGCAAGATGTCTGCATGTGTACTTAGGTGCCTGGAGTAAACCTAAGCCAGGCACCAAAGTAGTGACCTATGATGGGTGTGGTGAATACCGCTTGGAGTTTCAGCTAACCTCAGATGGATATATAAAATATTCAAAATATAAGATGTGTCTGCGCTGGAGAGGAGGAGCTGGGGCTAATAAGGATGATGTTGTATTAGATGACTCTTGCAGTGAAAAGTGGCAGTTTACAGCGAAGGGTTCTATTAAACATATTTCCAAAAACATGTGCATTATGCCATTTAAAGGAACTGCAACAAATAACAATAAACTTGTTTTATCATCAACTTGTGATCAGAATAACCAGCAATTCAGGTGGCAACCAAGTAAGTCGCATCACGATCATTACAATGTATATGTCGTTCAATACAGTTGAACCTCCCGTAAGCGGACACCCTTGGGACCAGAAAAAGTGTCCGCTTAAGAGAGGTGTCTGCTTATGGGAGGTTAAAAATGTAGTGTTTGTATGTAGCTGGAGTAAACCTAAGTGAGAGGTGTCCGCCTATGGGAGGTGTCTGTTAGCGGGGGTTGAACTGTAATTTAAAATCTGATTGACAAGTCATTGCATGTCCTTGCCAAACAGAGTTGCAAGTCAACATGCAACTCCGTTTGGCAAGGGGCATAAATGTCACCTTTGCAAAAATCTGTTCAACCTTACCGATACTATTATTTTGAATGATATAGAGTGATTGTACAGTAGCTATCCTTAGCTTCAAAGCACAAAGACTAAACCACTACAAACCACCTTAATATTAGTTTGTTATTTATAGCATTATGAGAATGAATATATAAAATATCACATATTACTGCTTAAGTTGCGTATATAACTGCGATGGTTTCACATATTAAATCTTTCACCTGCAGTTCTAATAATGATATTTCATATATTCATTCTCATATATTCATCCTCTAGACTACGGCTTTATTACAAACTCAATAATATGACCAGCTGGCTTGATAGCTCAGTTGTTAGATCACTGCACTGGTATCGTAGAGGTCATGGGTTCGAATCCCATTCAAGCCTGCATTTTTTTTAGGCTTTCTATAACTTCGATGGTCTTTCATATATTAAATTATAGCATTATGTTGTATATACCAATAAGTATTAATCAAGAACGGTGTCAATTTTTGCAGCCCGTGGATGGTATATCTATATAGAGTCATCATTTCCAAGACAGCCCAATGACACTGCAAGAATTCATTCACCTGCCATCACATCCAATCCATCACAGCCTAAGTGCCTTTCATTTTGGTTCCACATGTATGGACCACACATTGGACAACTCAACATCTACACCAAAGTTGGTGCTCAATTTGTGGGGCCTGTTTGGTCCAAATCTGGCTCTCATGGTAACAAGTGGTGGAATGGTCAGATACCAGTGTCAAACAAGAACCCATACCAGATTGTGTTTGAGGGTATGCGTGGCACAGGTTACCAAGGTGATATTGCCTTGGATGACATTGAAGTCAGTAATGGCCATTGCCCGGCAACAATGGACTGTGACTTTGAGAATCCAGTATCCCAGTTAAAGTTTTGTGGCTGGATTCAATATCCTGGTGATAACATTAATTGGCGTTTTGGCCAGGGTTCAACATCGTCAAGCAATACAGGACCATCTAACGATCACACCATTGGAGATCAAAGAGGTATATTTAACAATGATTCCACGAAATTGAGTCGTACATTAACTCAGAGGCGTAGCCGAGTTGGCTATGAGTTAATGTACGACGAGATTGAGTGGAATAATAATAAATTGTTTTATAATATACTCACCACAGGATATTGCAATTAAAAATTACTGGGGAAAGAACGGAAGGAAAAAACAGAGGAAAAATGGGATATTTATTATTTTGAAATTAGCGGGCTTCCCAAATAAGGTAGTAATGGTACATTGCCTCATATGCTTTGAGTAGGGAACCAATCAGATTGTCCAAAATTGCAATATCCTGTGGTGAGTATATTATAATATAAAATATGTTATTGTTGTGAAAGACATGTTTTACTGGTTGGGCAAATCCCCTTCAGTGAATCATCTACAAATTCCAACAACTCGCATGTCAAAACTAAAGGGGATGCTTCATGCTAGCTGTACATAGAGAGGGGGTTATCAAGTTGCATCAGTATCAAAAACTTTGAACTCACATCAGGTCAAAAGCTTCAATGGAACATGAAGTCTAGCCTTGCTTATTGAGAATGTCTTAAATCTGTTCCATGATCTATTTTATGTTTTCTGGTAGCATGTCAGTAACAGAAGTTGGTGTGAATTTTGCTACCTATGTAATACATGAGTTTTTATGGTAACTACAGTTATTTGGTCTGTGCAGACTATTCGCAGGTGATCCTATTCCTATTTTCCAACTATTCATAACTGTCCAGGCTATTCACGACCATTCATATTATTCACTATTATTCATGCTATTCACTATTCGTGCTTTATGGAAACCCTTGATTTGTTTGATTCTACTATTATGTCAACAGGGCATTACCTTTTCATCGAGACATCATTCATAACTGCACAATCCAAAGCCTGGCTTCAAGGTCCGAAAATCTCTCCACAAGCTGGAAAGTGTTTTCAGTTTTGGTACCACATGTATGGAAGCAGCATTGGCCAACTGAATGTATACCTGATGACAACTACATCAGTTCCACGCAATCCTGTCTGGTCACGACAGAAAGATCAAGGAAATCTGTGGTTCATTGCTCAAGTGTCAATCACGATACCCAGCTATGTTAATGTAAGTTCAGCTGGTGTGGGGGGGGGGGGGGGGGGGGGGAGGGGGGGAGGGGAATGGTAACCTAGGAGTAAAGAGGACAGGAAGTCTATGGGAGACAGGAAAAGAGGGGGACGGGAAGTGGTATATATGTTGTGGTTCCAAATTTTTTTGGTTTAAAATTTTTCAAACCAGTTTTATTTTAATTTTCTATTGTCTAACATTCTTTACCATAACGTGAAACAAAGGACAATAAAAATCAAACTGGTTTGCAAAATTTTAAACCAAAAATAAATTTAAACCACAACATATACACCACCAAGGTGGCAGGAACCAATAGAAATAGGAAAAAGTTCTGCAATATTTAATATGCCAAAGAGGCAGAAGCCACTAAGGGAGGGTTGGGAACCGGAAATAAAATGTACAGGAAGTGGGAAGTTCATACCCCCTGTCTCCCATCACACTGATGTTTACCAAGTTACAAGATTGAGATTAGATACAGTAAACACCCGCTTATAAGAACCTAGTGGATTAAGAACTTACAGGCTGAAATTTGGAAATTAGACCCCCATTATATAAGAACCCATTCAGCCTGACATTTGAAATAATGTAGGTTCTTATTTTTGTATGAGTAAAATGTACTTTACTACAACTGTACAATACTTATTTGATCTATTGAGTTGCCTACCTATTTAAAAATCCAGCTCCCAGGATTAAAGTACTACATGTATTCTGAACAGTAGCAAACAGTTTAAACCCCTGAATTAATAAGAACCTAATTAAGAACCTAAACAGCCTGATTTCCCACTAAACACCCGATAATTTTATATAAGAACCTATTCAGGCTGACTTGCAAAAATGTAGGTTCTTATAAGCGGGTGTTAACTGTAACTCACTACAGCTCGACTGTGTAGATTTTGAAAAATGTTTTTATTAGAATCGAAGCAGTGGTGTATATAATCCCAAATCAAATCCTGTGTGTGATGCTTATGGGTGGGAGGCATAGTGGGCTAATGGTTCACATACTCTGGATCGAAATGTTTAATGGGTTACAGCCCAGGCAATGGGCCCTTATGCTGTGTTCATGGTCAAGACACTTTACTCTCACAGTGGCTCTCTCCACTCAGGAGTTGAATTGTGTACTGCAAAAATGTTAGAACAACTTGACAAACGATGCTGAAGGGTAACTTGTATTGGATCCCATCCAGGGGCAGTAGCAACAATCCTAGTCACTTCTTTTCAAAGAAACCAGACTTTAGCTCCAGCTCCAATAAGCTATCTGGCTCCTCCAATCCTTTTAAATGGCATAGATCTTGAGCTTACTGCCATTCGCTAATTCTAAACCCAATGAAAATGGCGTAGAACAGGTCATTAATGTGTACACAGTGACTTTCATCCAGCTCCCATGCAAGCTACTCAGTCATGGAAACAAGTACCAGGTGATCCTGTCTTCAAGACAGGACTGAGTCTGCAAATTTCACGTGAAGTTTTTGCTAAGCAACATGACAATCGTTATGCAGTGGCATGACAATTTTCACGGTACTCGTGGGTGCTTAAGCGCTGTTTCTTGATTGGACAATAACAATAACTGGAAACTCTTTGAGTTCAACGAAGATTTCCAAAAAACAGCACTTGTTCCCCCAACAGTGCTAGTGAGAAGTATTTCCCAGTACACTATGGATTTGCATCCTTAAGAGAAAATCATGCAATTCTTTCTTCTTAAACAAAATCTGGGTTGATACATACTACATCTCCTCAGGCTGGTTAAATCTTGTTCCAATGGAAATAATTACAAGCTATAATCCAGAACATTTTGCAATTGGAAGATTGTTATCTGTTCGACAGGTGTTATTTGAGGGTGTGCGTGGAACAAGTTACACTGGAGACATAGCTATTGATGATTTTAAGCTGATGGATGGAGCCTGTAGTCAACCAGGGTATTGTGACTTTGAGAAAGATGACTGGTGTACATGGACCAATGCCGACAGAGAGGACACATTTGATTGGTTAGTTGGTAGTGGTGGAACGCCATCGGCCTATACTGGACCATCTGTTGATCACACTACAGGTTTGTGTACTGAAACTGCATTGTCCACGTTATTAGGTAAAGGGTTCCGCCGATATGTTAACAAACTAAGGTACTGGAATGCTATGTTCCACCTCCAATCAGTAACACCAGAATTATTCCTCACAGGACATGGAATTGGCAAATACATGTTTGTAGAATCATCTGCTCCCAGAAGACCAGGAGATAAAGCCAGACTGTACAGTGAACGCTTCTTAGCAACAAGTTCAATTGGATCTTGTATCAAGTTTTGGTACCACATGTATGGCGTGTCAGTAGGTACTTTAAATGTTCTAGTCAAGACTGGTGCAGGCAATCGTTCTGAAGATATTGTGTGGACACTGTCAGGGAACCAACAAAATAAATGGAATTTTGGGCAAACTTCAGTCACAAATACCAAAAGTGCTTATCAGGTAAGAGTATAATTGTTGTGCCCATAGATAACCATTTGAGTAGACAGTAGATAAAACAGAACTCCTCTTCCTCTGAGCCATTAAATCCTCTTTTTAATGATAGCCTGCTGATAGACTTTCAGACCCTCCCGCCCCAGACTCTCGCGGCTTGCGGCCGCTTACGAATTTTGCCTTCACGCACCAACAAGACCACCAGCTACGCAGGCTATTTAATGATGGTCGGGAGTTGATTGTAGTGTCCCCTCACTGGAGGGGCAGAAGCACGGTGACCTAATGGTTAGCGCATTGGACTCTGCGGATCAAGCGGTCTGGGTTCATGCGCTGGTGGGGGGTCATTGTATTGTATTCTTGGGTTAGACCACTTCTGTTGGTGTTCATAGTGTATACATGGTTTTCCTTTTCAACTCACCAACAAGTCTCGAGAAACCCTAAGATCATTTGGCAGGGAAACTCAAATACTTTTAAATTTATTATAGAGTGGGCAAACAACAAAAAAAATACCAGTTGCCTTCAAAAACGTAAAACCCATTGTTTGGTCAATCTCGTACTGTGACAGATTACATGTGTAGCTGCTACTTTGTATCCTTATACAAGTTCTCTTGTGTCAGATTGTGTTTGAGGGTGTCAGAGGAAGTGGTTACCAAGGCGATATAGCCATCGATGACATCACTTTTACAGTTGGTGCATGTGTAACTCTTCCACACAATGCTGTACCAACTCTTCCCCCGACTGCACCAGTTACAACTGGACCACCAACTGCACCACCCAAAGGGAAATTTGATTGCAATTTTGAAGTTGACTTCTGTTCATGGACGCAAGATTCAAGTGACAAGT